TGGCAGGGGAGGAGTAGCGCGCTACGACAGCGTCATACAAAGACTTAGCAGTCTTGTACTGGCCAAAGTGCGCGCGCTCAGCAGACGGCAGGTGACTACGAGTAGCAAGGCGAGCAACAGCGTCACGAGTAGTCCACTGCGAGCGAACCGTACTGTCAGCAGGCGCCGGACGTGTGATCGAAAAGCGAGACTCCGTCCTTAGAGTCGCACTGAAGAAAGAGCTGCAGATCATCTACCCAAACGTCGAAGTCAACTGCACGACCCTCAGCATCGAAGGTAAGAACAGTAGGGCTAGCCATGGCGGCAGTAGCAGCAGTGGCAGCAGTAGCAGCAGTAGCAGCAGAAGCAGCAGTAGCAGCAGGAGCAGCGCGGGCAGGGCAGCGCGGCTCAATAGGGCAGGGTGGCGCAGCTCGGCAGAGCGGCGCGGCTCGGCTGGGCGGCGCGGCTCGGCCGGGCGGTGCGGCTCGGCTGGGCGGCGCGGCTCGGCTGGGCGGCGCGGCTCGGCAGGCAGGCAGGCGCGGCTGGCGCAGGTAGGGCAGGTGCGCGGGTAGCGCGGGTAGGGCAGGTGCTCTCCAGGGGCGGGTAGGGCAGGTGCCACCGGCGGCGGGTAGGGCAGGCGCGCGACAGGCGCGGGTAGGGCAGGCGCTCGACGGGCGACGGCAGGGCAGGCGCTTGACGGGCGGCTGCAGGCGCTCGACGGGCGGGTAGGGCCGGCGCTCGACGGGTGGGTAGGGCCGGCGCTTTGACGGGCGGCGGCAGGGTAGGCGCACGACGGGCGCTTAGGGCAGGGCCGCGACGGGCGGCGGCAGGGCAGGCGCTCGACGGGCGGCAGGTAGGGCAGGCGCTCGACGGCGGGTAGGGCAGGCGCGCGACGGCGGCCGCAGCAAGGGCAGGCGCTCGATGGCGCGGGTAGGGCAGGCGCTCGACGGCGCACAGCAGGGCAGGCGCAAGGGCGCAAGTGAGGCAGGCGCGAGGCGCGCGACAGGGCAGGCAAGCGCGGCAGCGCGCTTCGGGCAGGGCAGGAAAAAAAATCGTGGTGGGCCCTTAAAAAAAAACGTTCCCACTAGGGAACCTGCTCTGAAACCATGTGAAAGATAGAACGAGGAATGATTGAATTAGCAAGCAGGTGGGTACAAGTAGGAAAACCTAAAAGTGTTGTACCCCATATTGACTACCCCACTACAGCCTACACAGACTATGTCATATAAGTTTGACATCGGTTGCCACCGAATTGCTTTCTACCGAGTTCGGGAAGGTTCTGGGGTGGGGGAAATTGCTGCTTGTGTGATGGTTTGTCCATCTGGCCCTGGTCGAAGGTTGGGGCTCGCATACGCGATTTGTCGTAGTGGCGTCAGGGTTTGATGGCGCTCAGTTCAGACTCAAAACTTTCACGCTGACTAAAAACGTGTACCATTTGTTTTCCAGGGTGAAGAAGGACGGAAACAAGAGTACACACACAACAGTGCATGAAGTGCAACCTGGGGAAAACAACCTTCCAGAATCGCATAAACGCATCTCCACTGTATTGGAGGCGGCAATCTGCCACCGCCTTGGCGAGTGAGCACAGCCTCTCCATCCATGGGCCAACATCATAGACATGCAAATTAGTCTGGTAACCCTATTCGATGGTATGCAAAACCGTCGATACCGCAGTTCTGCTTCGCAAATTTGTCTGGTAGCGCCACTCAAAACACTGTGTAACAGCTGACGCAGCACAAAAAGGGTACAATGGGTGCAACAATCGAATGCGTTTTCGATTTCGTTTCATTCGTTTTTTACCGCGCTCCGTTCGGCGCCTGACAAAGATTCCTGTGGGCAACTATTTTGCACGATAATTTTAACAAGAAAATCTGTTAGAATGGAAGTTAACGGGGTCTTTTTCGTAACAATATATTGCACCCAATATATTGCTACCGGTTACTGCTAGGGCAGGCAGGAAAAAAAATAAAACCCCTAGGGACCTGGACTCGATTCAGGGAGGGATCAACCCTAAAAACAGGAAAGGGCATTGTTTTTAGGGTTGATGCCTCCCCGAGTGCATCCCTTTCCGATTGGGTTTTATTTTTTCTGTCAAAAGAAGTGAACAGTGTTGCTTATCTGGCAGAACAGTCGCCCGAAAAAATCGAAGTTTAGCGGAAAGATAAGCGCGGTAGAAATCAGTTTGTCCATTCAAAAGAACCTAGATACTAGCACAATATGTCAATACCTCCAAAACCGAGGTATCGACGGTTTTGCATACAATTGCATAGGGTTACCATACTATGTTGCATGCCAGTGATGTTGGCCCCTCCATCCATTCTTGTTGTGCATTCAGAGGACTCAACTGTGCGGCGGAGATCCATCCATCCAAGCCCGAGAAGCACGGTTCTGTTCCCCTGCATTCAGTTGCCCCCACTGGCAGCAATCTTGCACGAGATGGGTTGGTGGAGGAGGGAGGGAAAACTCAGCGGAGTCCTCCTTCCCACCGCAAAGGTGGGGAGAAATAATCATCACATCACTCCAGTTGTGAGGTCACCTGCATCAACAGAAGACTGGTTTTGGCCATTTTCTTGTTTTTTTCCATGTCTCAAGTTCATGTGGTTCTGGAACGTTGTACCCACCAATCCGGAGGGAAACTTGGTATGGCACTGTACGTTGTCCTTCTGATGTCAAAATCCACCTGGTTGAGGGTGACGGTGATTGTACACCTGTACTCCGATATCTTCACGGGGTGACATTCCCGAATCGCGGAAACGATTGCCTGAGAGGGCGTGAAAATACACGGAGCAATAAAGTCCCCCTTAATTTCACACTCGAGCCGCAAAGTCTGCTGCTGACATGGACAAAAAGTGCACGACAATCTCAGGAAATTTTCACAGCCATTGCGAAATTACCACGTCAGGATTGCGTGTGGTCGGAACCCATCCGATACAAAATCAGGGACCCGTCTATGTTTGTTTCTGTGGAGTTTGTGTCAGCCGTTAAGCGTTGCAACAAGTTTTGTTACATGACGTAACTGAAATTGTGGGCTTTTGTTGATTTGACACGAAGGCGAAATCCCACGATCAGAAGACCTCCTGCAAAAACCAGAAGCTCAAGCGTCCAAGTCACCCCCTCCAGTATAAATTGCGTCATTTCTGTGGGGGGTGGTCTAAATGTTCAACCACACTTTGGCAACTCGGATCCCAACAAAGTTGGGCTGAGGACCCCGAAGTGACACCGAAACGCGGTGTGAAATTAAGGGTAGTGAAGATATCGGAGAACAGGTGTATCTCAGCCCGTCACGGAAGTAGAGAGGCAAAAGCACGAAGGGTGTCTTGACTCCGAAAAACAAACAGAACACCCCTCAAGTACCCAGATCCAGCCACAATTCCATGATGGGCAGAACAAAGGACGACATAAGCAGGTCTAGGTTCACGTCCGGACCTATTTCTGTACTGTACCATCATGGCGTATACGAAGGGATCTGTTGACGAGGCGATTAGGACGTGGTGCAGATCGCTCCGATCTCACGCAATCGGTGGTCGATTGGATCAGATCGGAATCGATTGGGTGTGATTGCCCCGATCTGACGCAATCGTCGATCGCATCACGCGCCGCGCGATCTGACGCATGTTTTTCTACAAAACAAGACGGAGCCTCAACCGCGCCTTCCAGGCGAGCTGTATGTTCCTTCCACCTCAAAGTTGGCGAAACTAAGCGACCATTTGTATCGTACAATTACAGGGTAGCCCCATTACTAGTTCGACTGTCAAGAGATGTTCTGTAGCAGCGAGCAAAATCGAACCTCAACGACTGTAGTTACAAATCGCGTAAATTCGCCAACATACCCAATCTATCGATCGCAAACGGTTGCAATCGATTGCATTAGATCGAGACGATCGATCGCGATCGATTGCAATCTCGATCGCGATCGACAGATTGCCCCCGATTGCTCAAAAGTACCCCCTGGACCTTCTCGGAAATTGTGGATTGCGAGATCGAGGCAATCAACCTCAGATCGCCCCGATCTGCACCACGTCCTTATCACGCCACGCCATATTGAGGGTTTCGTTGGTCACTCCATCCATCCTTTTCGTGCAAGCCTGCAAATGCTTCTGGTCCTGTTCCGCCCTAATCAGACAGTCCTTGTTTTGGGTCCTGAGAACGGGTTCACCACCAGCTGGTGATGACACAAACCCCATTTGCACCGGCGCGAGCACTAGGCCAAGGAGCCTCCTAAACTACGGACTGTGAAGTTGGCCAAATAATGAATACTAATTATACTACTACATACTCAGGACGTCGTCTACCAAGCGTGACACCGTGTGCATGACGCCTGCGGAAGAAATACAGTTGGATCTGGACGGGAACATTTTGTTTAAAAAGCGCAATTGTAACATGTCGGACAACATTTGGTTCAAAGATCTTCCTCTCGAGCTGAACAGCATCTCGAAATTTGCAAATTCTGATGGATTTCAGTGGCTGAAGTATGGCTCCAAGCTTTTAAAAAGTGCGGGACACAGAAGGTCGGTTTCCAGCACACAGAAGTTCCCCTTTCCCTTTCTCGCCTCTTCACTCGTTTCAAACAAGCATCTAGCGTTCTCTGCACATTTGCAGCCTTTTTCAAGTGGTAGATATCAGCGGACCAGAAATCAAATAGTGGATCAGAGTTGAACAAGCGTACTTTCCCTAGGCTGAGTTGTACTGCTGTCCTTATTCGGGCACAAATATCTCCATCCCTCTCCCCTTCTTGCCTCTCCCTCCCCCTACACGCCTCCATCTCCCTGATGCTTCCCTCCCCACCTCCCTCTCCCCCCTCCCTCTTCCCCTCCCTCCCCCTCCCTCTTCCCCTCCCTCCCTCCCCATCCCTCTTCCCCTCCCTCTTCCCTTCCCTCCCTCCCCTTCCCTCCCTCCCTCCCCCCCTCCATAAATGTACGTAAAACATATTTTTATACATATTTTATGAATATTTTACGCATATTTTATGCATATATATATATCTATTTATGTATAGAAACGAATTTTATTCACGCAGCCACATGTCTAGTCTTATTTTCCAAAATAACAAATCACTCAACAATTCAATGTATCGCTATCATATTATTGATGATTGGTCTTTCGATTTAGTCTATTGCGCCTTCCCTTTATTATAATTTCATTGTTGTCTTCTCTCTCTCTTTCCCACTCTCCCTCTCTCCCACTCTCCCTCCCTCCCACCCTCCCTCTCTACCTCCCTCGCTCTCTACCTCCCCACCTCCCTACCTCCCCCTCTCTCTAGCACCCTCCCTCCCTTCCCCCCTCCCTCCCTCCCTCCCTCCCTCTTTCTTTCCCTCGTTCTCTCGTTCCCTCGTTCTCTCGTTCCCTCGTTCCCTCTTTCCCTCCCTCTTTCCCTATTTCCTTCCCTCTTTCTCTCCCTCCCTCTTTCCCTCTTTCCCTCCCTCTTTCTCTCCCTCCCTCTTTCCCTCTTTCCCTCCCTCGTTCCCTCCCTCCCTCGTTCCCTCCCTTGTTCCCTCCCTCGTTCACTCCCTCCCTCGTTCCCTCTCTCGTTCCCTCCCTCCCTCTCCACCTCCCTCCCTCTCTACCTCCCCACCTCCCTACCTCCCCCTCTCTCTAGCTCCCTCCCTCCCTTCCCCCCTCCCTCCCTCCCTCCCTCCCTGCCTTCCTCCCTCCCTCCCTCCCTCCCTCCCTCCCTCCCTCCCTCCCTCCCTCCCTCCCTCCCTCCCTCCCTCCCTCCCTCCCTCCTTCTTTTCCTCGTTCCCTCTTTCCCTTGTTCCCTCGTTCCCTCTTTCCCTCTTTCCTTCTTTCCCTCCCTCGTTCCCTCTCTCCCTCCCTCTTTCTTTCCCTCCCTCTTTCTTTCCCTCCCTCTTTCCCTCGTTCCCTCCCTCTTTCTTTCCCTCCCTCTTTCCCTCGTTCCCTCCCTCCCTCCCTCCCTCCCTCCCTCCCTCCCTCCCTCCCTCCCTCCCTCCCTCCCTCCCTCCCTCCCTCCCTTCCTCCCTCCCTCCCTCCCTCCTTCTTTCCCTCGTTCCCTCGTTCCCTCGTTCCTTCTTTCCCTCCCTCTTTCCCTCTCTCCCTCCCTCTTTCTTTCCCTCCCTCTTTCCCTCGTTCCCTCCCTCTTTCTTTCCCTCCCTCTTTCCCTCGTTCCCTCCCTCTTTCTCTCCCTCCCTCGTTCCCTCTTTCCCTCCCTCGTTCCCTCCCTCCCTCGTTCCCTCCTTCCATCTTTCTCTCCCTCGTCCCCTCCCTCCCTCCCTGCTTACTTCCCTACCTCCCTGCTTTCCTCCGTGCTTACCTCCTAGCGTCCCTCCCTCCTTCCCTCCCTCCCTTCCTGCCTACCTACCTACCACCCTCCCTGCTCGTCTCCCTCGCTCCCTGCTTCCTTCCCGCTCTCCCTGTTTCCCTCCCTTCCTCCTCCCTCCCCTCCCTCCCTCCCCCCCCCTCCCTCCCTCCCTCCCTCCCTCCCTCGCTCCCTCCCGTCCCACCTTCCTCCGTTGCTCTCTTCCTCCAATATTTCTCCCTCCCTCCCTGCCTTTCTTACTCTCTCCCCTCCAATCTCTCTCCCTACCTACCTACCTACCTACCCACCTACCTACCTACCCACCTACCTACCTACCCACCTACCTACCTACCCACCTACCTACCAACCCACCTACCTACATACCTACCTACCTGCCTGCCTGCCTACCTACCTACCTACCTACCTACCTACCTACCTTCCTACCCACCTACCTACCTACCTACCTCCCTACCTACCTAACTACCTACCTCCCTCCATCTCCCCCTCCCTCGCTTCCTCCCTCCCTCCCCCTCCCTCCCTCCCCCTACCCTCCTCCCTCCCTCCCTCCCCCTACCCTCCTCCCTCCCTCCCTCCCCCTACCCTCCTCCCTCCCTCCATCCCTGCCTTCATCCCTCCTTCCCTCTCTTCAGCCTTTCTTTCTCTCAGTTACCGTTCACACCCCTCTCCTTCGATCTCTCGTGTCTCTTCCCCTCACTTACTTCTTTTCTACTAATGTGACAAAGGCTGAAAGCAAGTATACCAGAATAAAATATATTTCCCTCCCCGTGCCCCCCCGTGCCCCTACCTGTCTTTCCACCCACATCCCAAATCTTTCGTCCCCCGTTCCAGTCCCCGTTGTTCTCTTCCTCCCCGCATGACATATCGCTGCATATCCAGCCTTCCATGCCACAACCACTCCCAGTCCGGTTTGCAAGTATTTCAGGCTCATAAATGCATACCACCCCCGTTCCCTTTATTTCCTTCTCTCCCCCTCTCCTCTGCCCCAGGGCATACTACCGCTGCATATCAAGCCTTCCCTGCTACAGCCACGCCGGCTCGCCTCCCTGCCCGGCCCGCAAGCATATCGACTTTGACGCTCACCAGCAGTTCTCCTCGCGCGCTCGCAGCACCAAGGTCACCTACGAGGCCGCACACAACCACCCGCCTCCCGCCATCCACCGCCGCAGAAGACGCGACTCACTGCAAGAAACGCAGCAGGGATTACACCAGGAGACACCGCAGGAGACGCAGCAGGAGACGCAGCAGGAGATGCAGCAGGAGACGCTGTGGAAGACGCAGCAGGGGGCACAGCAGGAGACGCAGCGGGAGACACAGCAGGGGACGCAGCAAGGGACAGAGTGGGAGACGCAGCAAGGGTCGCAGCAGGGTTTGCAGCTGGGGCCGCATCAGGGGACACAGCAAGAGCTGTGTATCGTTGGGGCTTCCCAAGGCGTACTACAACCAGTATCCCGTCAAGCCTCCTCATCCGATTCGCCTCAATACGAACCGCTGCTGCAGGCATCGTGTGGTGGGGCTGCAGGGCTCGCGAGCAATGCAGTGCAAGCATCGTGTGGTACGGCTGCAGGGAGCGATGCAGTGCGTGCCATGTGTGGTGGGGCTGCAGGGATCGTGAGCGATGCAGTGCAAGCATCGGATGAGGCGGCTGCGCCGACAGCTGTGACGTCCTCTGGAAGTGAGAACGGTGGAAGTGAGAACGGTGCTGTGCCTCTGCTGCCTTCGTTACCTCTACTGCCTTCGTTGCCTCGATGTGACACGGCGCTGAGCTCCTGGTGCGCCTGGCAGCAGGGAGAACTCTCTCTGGGGCTTTCTTCCACGCCTGCTAAGGGATCCTTGGCTTGTGATCGGACTGAGCAACGAGCAGAATCACGTGGCGCTGCTTCCGAGACGTCTCACAAGTACCTGGGGCTTTCTTCCACGCCGGCTAAGGGGTTGGTGCATTGCGATCGGATTGAGCAACGAGCAGGATCATGTGGCGCTGCTTTCGAGACATCTCAGAAGTACTCGGGGCTTTCTTCCACGCCGGCTAAGGGATTTGTTGCTTGTGATTGGACACAGCACGCAGCAGCATCAACTGTCGCAGCTGATGCAGGCGCTACTGCAGCAGCTAGGATAGCAGCAGCAGCTGTGGCTGGGCCAGCAGTTACCTATGGATCTAAGGCAGCAGCAGCTGCAGGTGCGTCTGGCGATCCATCTGAACACCCACTCAAGCATTTACCCCTTGACACTTCGGTTGCTGTGCTTTGTTCAGCCAAACGCAGAGTCAGTTTTCTAGGAGGTTCGGGAGTTGAGAGGCCTTCCCAGCTGAGCTTGGGGGAAGGTGGGGGGAATCAAGAAGAGGCAAGGAGTGCTGGGAATGGCTGTGAGGGGTTGGGATTCAGAAATGTTTTTTCAGCTAGTGAAGCAGCTGAGCATTTGGTCAAGAGGACTGTTGGAACAACCTCAGATGCTGCAGCTGGTCCAGTTGATTTCAGAGTTGATCCTAGAAGCAATGTTGAGGAGTTTTTCCAGGTGAATCTGGTAGAAGGGGAGGGACATAGGCAAGAGACAAAGAGTGGTGGGAACGTGTCAGAGGGTTGGGGAGCTGGAGAGGCCTTTTCAACTGGTGGTGCAGCTGAACCTTCACTCAAGAGGTCGCCTGAAACAATCTCGAATGCTGCGGTTAGTCCAGCTGGTCACAGGAATTGTCTTCTAGCAGCCTGGGATGACATTGACGAGTTTTGCCAGATGGCCTTGGTGCAAGGCCTGGAGAAGCGTGAGGAGTTACGGAATGGCAGCAGCGGCAGGGAGGTGAAGGTTGAGAGGGTGGTTCGTGATAATGAAGGAGAGGAGGTGAGGGTTGTGCGCGCCGGTAGGAGTGCTTCGGCAAGTAGTACGGCACCAGTGGATCATGAAGCGGATAACGAAGAATGTAAAACTAGCCATAGGCCGCACGTGTGGGAGGTGGAGAGTGGCTGTGAGAAAGAGTGTAGGAAGGGAAGCAGAAAGAGAAAGCTGGAGAGTGGGGATGATTTGTCGCAGAGGAGTGAGGATACTGTGCGGCCAGAGGGGAGGGTGGTCGTCTGCTGCAGGAGGGACGGGGTTGAAGGTCGCATGGATGGAAGCAATTCTGGAGGATTAATTGATGGACGGAGAGAGGATGGAGGTGCATTTCTCTCTCTAAGCTTATCATCCAATGGGCTTTCAACAAGCCACTGTCCAGCTAGTGATCAAGACCGTGAGAACCTGGGAAAGCGTTCAAGATTAGAAGGTCCTGTGGAAGCCGGTATTCATATTGGAGAGAAAGAAGACGGTTCGAGGGTTGTGTGTGTAGATATGTTGAGACGACACACTGACAGGCGTTTAGCTGAAGCATCTAGAGGAGTTCCCAGTGGCAGTGCAGCTGGAAGTGACAGTGCAGCAGCAACGGCAGGAGGGGGAATGATAGGGTTCACGGTGGGAGGAGGTCGAGGGATCACAGCTGGTGAGAGCAACTATGTGGCTCGTAGGGGGAGCGATTCAGCAGAAGAAAATGGTGCCGTCGTTGACTTTACGGACAGGAGGAGAGCAGCAGAAGCTAGTGCTCGTGGTGCATTGCAGTGGGAAGAGGCTTCCCAGTCAATGCTAGGGCCAGTGGCGGCACGGCAGGGGAAAGCGTTTTCTCCTGTGAAGCCAGCAACAGGTAACAGCAGTGATGCGTGTCTCCTGAAGCAGGGGCGTGCAGGGAATGGAGAAGCAGAAGGTGCTGCTGAAGTGTTGCAGCAGGGACTTCTGGGGTACACAAAAGAGCAGGCAGCGGATGTTGGAGCTGAAGTGTTGCAGCAGTCATCGCCTCTGTACGGCTGGCAGGCCTTTGAGGCTTGGAGAGCTCGATACTTCAGTAACCAAACAACGCCGTCTCCTCTCAAACCCCACGCGGTGCAGCAGCATCCATCCTCTTTAAAAGCATCACACTCTTTAATAAATTGTGCAGCAGAAATGGGTCCGGCCACACCCCTTCGGCGTCCACAAGCTTCGCCGATTCTTCGTGTACAGAGTTCGCCTCTCGTGCTGTCAACTAACCCAGGAGAGGCGCTTGAGAGGGTGAAAGAGTTGCCGAATGACCCTCAATACATCCTGGGAAAAAGTGGAGAACATATGAAGGCAGCAGAAGGACCGCGGAATAAATGGTGGTTGGGAGAGGTGGGGGTCAAGGGCGAACCTCTTGATCATCTTGCTCTTAAACGGCAGGTCAGTGAGGGTCCAGTGGATGCCACAGGCATGCCGTCCCCAGTAACACCTTTAGGTGTATTGGGAGATGGGCGGCTTGATCTGCGGAAATTCACTGAGGAGGGGGGTGTTAAGTGGATTTCAGCACAAGAGGTTCATGCAGCACCACGTCCTGCACGGACTGGCAAGATCCTGCACGTGTGTCCATATCTGTCCCCTGATGAACTTGAATGGTGAAGTGAGCAGAACGATTCCAATGGATGCTTGGAACTCATGTTGGGGTCCACTTTTGTGTAGAAAAAAACACTTGTGCGATCCCTGTCCAGTCAATAGTACTGCCGTCATTGATCTACTCTGGGATATATGTCCAGGACAACAACATTTGCTGATGGATACAAAACCAAGAACTTGTTTCCTGTTTCTGCACTTAAATCTTGAGAAATCATAAACCTGCGGCATCCACTGTTTGGTGCCAACCCACTTCTTCCAGATTTTCATGGACATTCGAGGTGATTTCAATGTCCGGGAAGGTTTATCCTGCTAAACAATGACGTGTGAGTAGAATAGACTTTGAAGCTCTGAATTAACTTAGCAGTTACTTGTGGTTAAAAAACTGGGTCAAATAGCTCAGTGCAGAACAGTGACGTTGGTTGGTGGTGTACTAACGAATCAACGTGACATAACGCACGAGCTAAACGACCTGTGTGGTATATAAGCTGGCAGCAAAACACGGCGATGGCACGCATCACCGTGAAGGTGACCTTTGAATAAGTAATATTAGTACGAAACGAAAACTAAGTGATACTTTTGAACGATAGATGACTCCGCTAGTACACGTAACGCACTAACTCTAAAAAACGATGCCAGGTCTCAACCCCAAAACAGAGAGCATTGGCTGTGCGCTCTGGTATGATGGCCTCATAGCAGTGTGAGCTGCAATGAAGCTGGAAATTGAAGTGGAGGGGGTCTGTGAGTCTGCAGAAGTGTCACGTCACATTTCCAGCCCAGAGCAGCCAGGCACAACAAACTAAAATGGAGGCAAGAAGAAATCCATCCAGGCACGGAACTCCGCTCATTTCAAGGCACGAAATCCTGCAGAATCAAACCGTTGAAGGGCGGAGGCTTTGCAGCCACCCAGCCACGCGGCGGCCCTAAAACCAAACCCCACCCCAACCAAGCCGTCCTTCTTGTTTGCCTGACCAGCAGCGAGCCTGTGATTCCAGTTCTGATATGTCCCGCCCGCCCATTTCCGCACCTCGCCTCCCCTGATTTGATTGGACTGGTTCGAGGTGCGCTGGCGTCCCTCGGCTGACAACGACTGCTGGTCTGGCGGCGCGCTTCATCACATCACATGAATGTTGGGTCAAGGCAGAGTACACCGCAGCTCAATCATGATTATGGCTCAATGGTGAGAAAAACTCTGTCCCTACACCTCTTAAAATTCCATCACAGACCTCTTACAAAACAAAACGATAATATCCAAAACAGCACGAATACCTAACAACCTCGGCAGTGAATATGCGTGTCCAACATTTGCCAACCTGTACATGCCTCTGGGCGCTATGCAATCTTTTCTGAGGGTGTTGAGATACTTCCATCTACTGCCAAGAATCAACAGGGGAGAGAAGAGAAGGTAAGAAGGGGAGAAATGAGTGAATCTGTTACCGACTTGCCAAGCGACCACCAGCAGGATGAGAGAAATGGGTGAAGACATGAACAGATACAGCCATTCACACCAGCATAACCGATTCCTCGGCCATTTCAATGCCACAAATCCCTTACACTGGCACTTGCATCCCAAACTTACCCTGCCACTCCCACACAACCTTTGTCGCATCGGCCACGACCCTTGGATAAACCAGAATTCTGCTATTTCCTTCAACCCACTGCTGCACTTCCCTCCACAGACTCTCCACCGCACGCAGGCGTCTCCTTTCACTCCGCTGTACAATCGCCACTTGCACTGTACCAAATACTGTAGAGTGTGAATCAAAGGATGGGTGAACACCAACAGGAGGCGGAAACAGGTGCACTCGAAGTGCCTCCTCCATAACCCAGGACTGGCCGGCGTATCCTGTCTGCGTCCGGCAGGACTCGGCATCTTCTGCAGCATTCTGCAGCAGCACACAGACGTGAGTGTACGTCGTTCTGACAGCCTCTTCCCACTCCCTCCTCCTCTTGATCATCAAGCCAGCCACAGCAAACAGAATCCCACAGGGCAGAGCCAAAAGGAGGTCCAACCAATGAGACGCCGTCACATGCCATGCCCAGCAGCTGTTGGACACCAGCTCTTGTGCCAGTTCATCCGGGCAGGTAAAGGTTTTCTCCCTCCTGCCCGGACGGAGTAAAGTGTCACCTGACTGAACTCTGGCGAACGCCCTGTCAGCAACCAGTGCAACAAGAAAATCCCTCTCATGCTTGCTCGAGCCTGACTCTGCCTCCCGTGATCCCCCCTCCTGCTGCTGTTGCTGCTGCTCCTGCTGCTGCTCCTGTTGCTGCTCCAGCTGCCAACCATCCAGTATCGAACCTGCTGGTGATGATGCAGCTTCCGCCAGTGGTGGCACAGGAACATAGGGTGATGCACTGCCTGAGGTGGACGACTGAAGGGGAAAGGCAGAGGCAGGAGCCAAGGGAAGATCAAGAGCCTCTCTCACCTCCCACTCACTCACATACCCAACCCTGCTCCTTTCCGCGAACGAGTCCCCTTCCTTATTCACCCACCAACACCCATTTCCACCCCCAGCGTTGCAGCTCCCACCACTTTCACCTCTATAAACAGTTCCAATACTGTGCAACATCATTTGGAGTACAGATTGTGCAGCTCTCCTCATCCCATCTTCCAGGCTGGCAGGTGCATCTGCACACATTTGCCAGGCACGTTTCTGACACGCCCAGCCAACCACGTCCCTCTCCAGAGCTGCCACTTGGCGGTCCACGATTGGGTCGGGAACGCACGCAAGGGAGGACGAGACAAGGGCATACCACCAGGTAATCTTCCCGCCACTGCTACTGTCCTCTAGCCCCCTGGAGGCGCTGCTTCTGCCACTGCCACTGCTACTGCCACTGCTGCCGCTGCCACTACCGCTGGTGTGTCCTAAAGTGGCACCGAGTCCGCTGCGATCTGACGCACGGCTGTAGCGAGGACGGTTGTAGCCTGAAGCAGGGCTGTAGCTGGGACGGCACTTGGCAACTCCCTTGGAGCATTCTGCATGGTCCGGGCACTGACGGCAGCGAACAGCAGTCGTGGGCACGGGGGGAGGAGAGGACAGAGGAAGATTGTACAGAGGGGAATGACGCGAAGGGGACTTGCCGGGTGGTTGTGTGACCGTGGAGAGAAACAGGGGCTCCTGCTGCTGCGACATTACCGACAGTGGCGCTGACAGTGAATCGGATTCCCTGGATGTGGATTCCAGGTTGCTGTGGGGTTTCTTGGCATGACTATCACAGAAGGGGAGCAGGCGGTGCTCCAGGGACTGAATGAGCGTCCAGGCGGAGAAGTACACGCCTGCTGCCACGCCCACCATTGCCACCAGCTGCACTGCCTGCAGCAGCAGCATTTGCACGGACCAGGACCATGCGCCACGCCTTTGCTTCCTGTCCCTTGCACGTCCGCTCTCTTTCTTCTGCCTGCTTGACTGTGCTGCCTGCCCTCCTGACCAGCTGAACCAGCCTTTGACTTCCCTTCTTCCTCCACCTGCTGCTGCCAATGCTGCTGCTCTTCCAACTCCTCCGTCAGGCGGTGCACCAGACAGGGGAGGCGAGGCGATTGAAGGGATGGCAGGGTGGGACGCCCAAAAGTGGAGCTGCCGGGGTAGGATGGGTGAGGCGCGAGGAGCAGCAACGTTTCCAACAGAGGGAGGGACGCCTGGCAGACCCGCAGCAGCAACATTTCCCGTGAAAGCAGCAGGTGTCGTAGATGCTCCTGCTGTTGCTGCTGACAGTGATGCTGACGGCGAGGCTGAAGACGGTGCTGCTGATGATGATGTCGACGTGCGGGTGGACGGCGTTCCTGTCCATGACGAGCGGCGAGCCGCCGAGCCTTTCAGTCTCCGGAAGAAGGCAAGGAAGAGTGAAAGAAGGAAGGAAAGGAAGGAGGAAAGCAGGAGCCAGGGGAAAAATATACTCGCTGAGATCCTGCGTGCCACTCCATGGCCTCGCACCCGACTCCAGGTACCATTCTTAGTCTCTTCATTGCCAGCTCTCTCGCCATTGCCAGCTCCACGTGCACATGCATCCCCTCCTGCACTTGTCTCTCCACCATCGCTTCCGCCATCACTCCCTACCCATGCTGATCCACGCACATGACGCCTGTGCTGCCCCGCCTCTGGATGGATACCCCTGCTGCGTTCATAAGAAGGGAGATGGAGGAAATCGGAAGCTGAGACGAAGGAGCTGGTGTCTGATTCCTCCTCTCCCTGCTGCTGCTGCTGCTGCTGATGATGATGCTGATGCCACTGCTGCTGCTGCTCCTGCTGTTTCCGATTATGATGCCACTGCTGCTGCTGGTTTCCCTGCTGCGGCTGCTGCTGTTGCTGCTGTTGCACGGACTGACGCATGTGCTCCTCCCTATCATACACACCAGCGCCTGCTTCTTCCTCCCTCTCCCGTCGTCCCTGCGTGAAAGAGCTGCCCCACCACCACCACCATCTGTGGCTGCTGCGCTTCTCCTGGTCCCTCTTCACTCCCCATCCTTCAGGTGTTTCCTCAGGTGTTTCCCAGGATTCAGCAGCCGTTTCGCCAGGCGTTGGCACCACGGTAGCTCCTCGTGTTGCTCCTCCAGGTGCTCCTGCTCCTGCTTCTCCTCCCCCTGCTGCTGCTTCAGCCGCTCTCTTATGCCCTGCTGTAACACACGCGCTCTCTGCTGTGGGAGGTGTCGATTTCCCCTTGGCCTGCTGCTTCCCACGGCGCTGCTGGCCCTCCGCGTATCGGTTCTCGCCAGACAGAGCTGCAACGAACGTGTCATCATAAGCCGATCCCAAGGGAGGCGTGAAGGGCGTGTTCAATGGCGCGCGCGTGTCAGGCGAGCCCATGGGAGGCGAGAAGAGCGTGTTCAGTGACGCGAGCTGCGGAGAGGCGAAGGAGATGGGAGCGCCGGGGGAAGCGAGCAGCGGAAGAGCCATCCGGAGGTAGTAGGCTCGCTTGTGCTCTCGAGGGGAGAGATCCACGCCTTGCTCGAGAAGCCACTGCTTCAGCAGAGCCGTGCTCATGGATCTTAGCTCCTGCTCCTGCGCGTGCCGACGATGCTGCTGCTCATTCTGCTGCTGCTGCTGCTGCTGCTGCTGCTGCTGCTGCTGCCGATGCTGCGGTTGCTCGCTTTGCTGCTGCCGCTGCTGCTCCTCCTGAAACCATCTCCCTGATTCGCCGACAGCAACAGATGAAATCGGCGCCGTCGGATCTCGTTCCGGAGGCCCAATGCCAGCAGTCGGATCGTAACCAGCATCTCGATCACCACGATTCGTCCTTAGCCAATCCAGTGCAATCTGGAGGTAATACCGACGGTGGTGATCGCGAGGAGAGAGAGACAAACCGCGTGAAAGAAGGAAGTCCTTAAGATCCGCGATCTGCATGGCTCGTATCCGTTGCTCTGAAAACGAATCGTTTCCAAAAACAGCCTGAGGGAGTTGATAGGCGTCAATTCCAGCGTCAGGTTGCCGATCACTGTCGATTCTGTTAGGGCTTCGATAAGAGTCCATATGCACCCCATTGGTCGCAAAGTCGCGATTCGACGTCATGTCAGAACAACGTGCAGCGACGAATGAAGGAACCTCTATGTGTCGATGGTTCTTAGTTACCCCTCGTGGATCGTAAAAGTTACCCCTCGTGTCAGACTTATACAGAGAAACCTACTACTAACACGTTCTACGCGGGTCAATGGATATGAGTCACACCTCGTGTCAGAACTATATACGAAGAAATCCTCTACGAACGGACGGAACTATTTCACGTCAGTACATCTGTCACTCCTGACATATTTTCATTCCAGTCCGTCCCTACAAATCATTCACTCTAACCCTACTGGTAACATCGACATTCCGTGCAGATAACTACTCTACGCTACCCTGTACTAAAGGGGTTCTGACATCAACGTAAGGACGTAAGCTAGGCTAAAAAGAGACACGAAGAACCTAGTAAGAACAATGAACGAAACTCGTCAGTGGAAAATATTGCGAGTGAATCCAACCATACCGCATTCACAGAACGGCGAACATCGGGATTTGTTCGATTCTTGAGGAACTTGGAGGAAGCGTGATGGAGACGACAGGCAGACTCAAAAAAAGGATCATAATATGCCAAAGAGCTTGCCCCAGCTGAGGATTGAACTCAGGACCTTTCGCTTACGAAGCGAACGCACTACCGCTTTATTTACAATGTATATGTGTACAAAAGATAGAGACGGATTTGAGCATCAGGAGGCTACCTAACTAGCAATGGCCCAACTGCAATCCTAGGTTGAGACCCCCAATGAGGTCTCAAGAACCAACACCAAGGTACGCAAAGTCAGCCAAGGAGGGTGGGGTGGGATCTGGTGGGGCGGAGGGTGTGTCAACACTGTAACGAATTTGTGTCCGACGGCAGATGGTTCGAGCCTGCTCACGCTGGTGCACCAAGGAAATCCTCTTGAAGTAGCTAGTCTCGAAGAGCTCTGGAATCAGGTCAGATGCACCACCCATGTCACGAAGTCGAGTCGCCCCTCGTCTGCTGCAGTCTTTGATGAAGCTGAGAAATGCCGTGCTGAAGCAACCGAAGGTTTCAAGAACGAGAGGAAGAAGCTTCACGTCTGGGCGGTTTTGTAAGGAAGATGCATACAGGGTCCGCTTCTCAGTTTCGCGAGCAGATGCAGCTGAGCCGATTACTGATGCAGTCTTGGAGTTTGGGGGACCATGCTGCGGGTCTGCAACTGAAACATCTAATGCCCACGTAGTCCCAGAGCTGATATCACGGCAGCTGATGTCTGGGCGACGTCCTGAAAGAAGGTGGGAGTCCTCCAGCTGTACGACGTAACCAAGCTCGGACGTGATGCGATGAACCTCAAGCTTGATGGCGTCGTGGACCCTGGTAGGCTCGTTAGAGGATGGGCAGCGGAGGACGTGAGAGACGACTGAAGGGTCTGCGAATGCCGAGCCACAAGTGCATGTGCGGGTGGTCGTGAGGTGTGGAATGGGGAGGCCAAGACGAATAGCGGCTGCAATACACCACTCCGTAGGTGACAGCTGCATATGCGAAGAACATGGAGCCACAGTAAGCCAATCGCCAGCATGGGGCCCTTGTAGGGAGGTTAAACGGGCCAAATGTTGGGGAGAGGTTACTGTGGATCGCACGCGCTCGAGCATGACAGCCTCCAAGTGCTGTGAAAGGTAGGAATATAGCTTCTGTGGATAGCCAGCGTGAAGTGCGGGCCAGGTAGGGAAGTGCTGCCGAATGGTAGGATGAAGTTTGGACATGGCTGTGGGAATGCATGGGTCAAGGCGGTCCATGGTGTCTGAAGCGATGAAGGGACGGAAAATAGGGGAGCCATGAATGGTGAAGCATGACGAGAGGAGTGAAACTGTCTGTGCCCAGCTGCACAGGTAACTGAGAGAAGCAGTTGCAGCTGAAGAACGGAGGCCGAACCCACCAAGGCGAATGGGAAGGAATGGCTGTCGGTGTGCTGTGGCAGTGTGGTCAAACGCAGGAGGCCAGTAGTCAGAGCCGATGAGGCGAACAAAGTGGTCCAGCAAGGTGTTGTCCCAGTCAGTGTAAAGCTCTTCTACCTCGGGAAATGGTGCAACTATGCGGAGGAGGAATGAGGGACGGGCGGAAATGCAGAGAGTAAGGAGGCGAGAGGCAGTCTGTGGATCATGAAGGTCATGCAGGAGAGGCAATGATGAAGAGAAAGAGTACAGATAATGTGGGTGTCCGATCCGATAGGCACTCCTGCAACCGTGAGACCGTTAGGGGCAATGATGATGTCTGATGGAGGTGTGAGGTCCGAAGGGAGGTCCAAAGGGGCCCAGAGGGAGCATTTTGATGGTTGCACCCTCAGGCCCAGGTCATTGAGACGGGCTGTAAGCGCTGTGTAGGCAGGAAACACGTCATGCGCAGGACCGACCATGTATGTGTCGTCTGCGTAGGAGGTGATGAAAAGAGCTGGAGATTGACGCTGGATGGGGCGAATGGCTAGGTGCTGGGTGAGGGCGAACAAGAATGGCCCGCATGGGTCACCCTGTCGAACACCCGATGATGACTGCAGTGTCTCGATTAATGGGCCGCTGCGGTAATGGAGAGAAGAGGGGGAGGCATAGAAGAGGCGGAAGAAAGGGATGAGGCTGGAGAACGGGGAGTCTCGCAGGGCGTTGAACATAGCGGAACGGCTGAAGGAGTTGAAGGCGTTGGCAACATCCAGTTCCAGCACAACCCACTCTGGGTGGAGGGAGAGGGCCGACTCGACTGCATGGGCCATAACCTCGATCCCTGCGGAGACGGCGACCCCAAATTGTAGGGAGGGAAGGAAGAAGTCCCGGATCTGCTGCTTGAAGTGAAGAGTAACGCAACGGGACAGCAGGCGCGGCAGTATCTCGCCGATGGCGATGGGGCGGACCCCTCCATGCGGCTTCTGGAGGGCAACAAGATTGGATGCGGTGAAGTAAGGTCGAACTGTTTGCGGGAGGTCGCCTTGCAGCCAATTCTGGAACAGGCGGAGAAGATGCGGCAGATGAGTCTGGTACGAGAGGAAGGTGTCGCGAAGATGCTCGATAAGCCACCCCGAAGGGCCAGCAGCTGTGCCTCGTGGGGCTGAACGCAAGGCCTAATGAAGAAGTGGAATGGTGAGCTGAGGCACTTCCGAAGGCGAGAAGTCGGGCAGCCAGTCTGGAAGTTCTTCGGTAGCAGGAGGGTGCTTGGCCTTAAGCGCAGTAACAGTTTCAGGGGTCTGTGGGGCAAGCTCGCCAGCTTCTAAAGCGGCAAGGGAACGCGACCAGTCCCCGCAATGCGCGAATCGTTTGGCTCGGTTCAGTCGGGCGAACGTGGCTGTGGACCGGGCGGATGAGACACTGTGCGGTCGAGACGCTGGAACGGCAGCAGCGACAGCTTCGTTGAAGAGAGAAAGCCAGTCGCCTTGAATGAAACGACGTGCAAAGGCTGCACATGCTGCTGTGGCTGATTGTGAGGCAGGAGAAATGGAAGAGCGAAGCACCAGACGGGGGAAAGCAAGGAGGAGGAAATGAGCAGCAGGATCTTGCGGGAAGATGGCAAGGCGGCGAAGTGGTATGAGTAAAGCATCCAAGACCAGCAGGCGAGCTCGCGGCGGAATCCGACGCAACAGTGTGCTTGGGGTGACAGTGGGACTGAAGAACGTCCCCCAGTCCCAGGTTACGACAGCGTCCCAAGTCTGTTGAGATATCGGTGGGGGTGCTGTAGAGGAGGAGGGAGTAGTAGTGGCACGAGGAGGAGGAGGGCGGGCTGATTGCTGACGCGTTGTGTTGTTGCGGGAACAAGCAGAGAGGTGGCGAGTAAGACCACCCGAGCTGGCAAAGTTACGATTACAGGTTTTGCAATAATATGTTGGGGTCGGGACCGAAGTGGGCAAAGGAGAAGAAGAAGAGGCTGCAGCAGGATGCGGAGCAGATGTCGAAGCAGGAGGAGGAGCAGAAGGAGGAGGTTGTGAAGTTTGCGCAGCTGCAGGTTCAGGTTGGCGAGAAGCGTGCTCTTGGGAGGAGGAGGCTAAGGTTTCTGTAAGGACTTTATGAAGTACGGTCTTCTGTTGTTCTGAAACAAAGCGTGGTGGGGCTGATGACTTAGGGTGTTGAGAAGAAGAGGCTGGGGGTTGTGGAGTATCTGATTCTGGCAATGACGAAGAACGGTGTGTCGTGGCAGAGTCAGTAGGGAGGGATGACGGACGTGGGCGTAAAGGTGGCTGTTGAATCGGTAGGGTTGCAAAAGGTGGGGATGAACGCGAGCGGTTAGGAGGACGAGAGGGGTGTGGGTCCCGGTCTTCAGGCGTCCTGTCCCGCTTACGGTTTGCCATGGTGAGGAAGTGGATTAGAAAGATTCATATGTTGTGCAGTTAGCGGTTTAACAAGTGTGTCAAATTCGCGTTTTGGGAGAGGTAGTAGCGCGGATGCAGCAACGAGATATCATGCAGTGCAGAAGAGGTTTTCGTGGGTAGTTGGGGCTGATCGTGCTGCTGCCAAGGTGCAACGTGCTGGTGCTTGCGCAAATTGAAACACGTGGAAGTGGAGTCGTGTGTGGAAGGTGCAGGTTGGGAGGGTGGGGAAATTCGCGAAGGTGCCAGTCGTCGTTGGGGGTAGAAACAGGTGTAGGTAGGCGTCGTGCTGTCCCCCAGTGCTCGATTACTAGCAAAAACCACGCCGTCGCCGAAGGAACTCCTCTCCGCGTCGGACGCTAGTGAGTCTGTCGAGTGAGCTAAGGGAGGTGCCGACGTGGAGAAGCACTGTCAGAGTAGTAGCACGATTCGAATTTCGTCCGTAGCACTGTCAGGGTAGTCGCGCGTAGGGTTTCTCGCAGTTTTAGTGTATGCGTGCAAGTCGCGGCGTGTATTTACAGTACAAAAGAAGGTGCAAGGTCGCTG